ATTCGATTTTATTCATGGATTTATGGCAGCAGTACCAGTTTTTAATTTTACTTAAGCAAAAATTTGATGGACCAATAAGATATTCTGAGTTTTTTACATGGTTTCCGAATAGCTACGTGGGAGCTTTTGCTACGGGAGGTCCACGCTTTCTTCTCTTCCTTCAAATTCAAGGAGCAGAGTGGTCTTAGGGTTTCGTTGTCTCATCAGAGGAGATTTAATCTGGATCTTGGGAAATCTGAATTAAATCTTTATCCTTGATTCGGTAAGCCCCTAATAAACAAAAACCATATATGAACAATAACCCAAATAGTTGAACTTTTTCACATATGGTTTGGATGATACCCAAAACACGTCGTTAAGCAAAATAACCATAACAAATTTATTAGGGGCACCAAGAGAGGATTTAACTAGGAAAGCACGCATCCATTCTCTCTCGTATTGTAGAGAGTGTCTATGTGTGAGTGAATTCGCGGGAGAGCTGTCAATCAACTGATAGTTCTGGAGTGCATTTTGAATAGGTCGTATGTAACAAATGTAAACAAATTGACATTTTAATGCTACCAGACACTACTCTGCTTACTCTTCCTAAATACAAAATTTAGGCCCGATACTTCATTTTTGATTCATTTTCTCATTAAAAAAGTATTTTCCGTATGTGCCAACTGATCAATACATAGCTCAATGTTGCATATGACACCTAACTTCTATGGGAGTGCCAATCGTCGTATGGAAGAAATTTAAGCGAAGCTTATAAATTGTAAACACGACCTGTTGTTTAACCCTAATAGAAGTGCAAACTTTGCAAATCCTACAGTGAGGTTGTGGGTGATCTATAAAATGATAACAACGCTTTCCGTAAGATATTACTCATAATAATACATTTTTAAATCACTAAAAATGCGCACGGTGAAATATAACACCATGACATGCAAAAGGTCGATTACTATTGATTGGTTAAAAATCATTTGTTTTTTTTTACAGAAACGCTATCAATACCTTGTAAAGTCAATAGCAGCTTTTCTGAGATGTTAGTTTATGGGAATTTTGAAAGAATTATCTATCTCATAGAAAATATAAACAATTTTGTTGTTGGTCAAAACAAAATACCTGATTTCTCTAATTGACAAAAATGTTACATACGACTCAATCAAAAAGGACCCTAGCATTTGTTTTTTTTTTTGTTTGACGTACTGAAACAGGAACCTATTCATGCTGAATATTGCATTAGGTCCTAAGTAACATTGATCCATTCTCTTCGTTGACTTTCTCTTTCGTTAATAACTTGAGCACATAACCGTTTATTGTTGTGTTTGTCATTTTAGATGCTGGATAAAAGCTTCTTTTACCGATATGTGTGCTGAAAATACCTGGAAATATCTTTACATGGCCATACAAAGAGAAAGTTGATGAAGAGAATCTGTCAATGTTACTTATGTACTTCACTTCACTTCTGGACTTATCCAGAAGCAATCATCGGCTACTTGCCGGTCTTGGAACTTCTCTCAGATACAATGCTTCTTCCAACGCGCGCAGATTCTTCATCACAATTCTCTAGGTTAAGAAAGAGATCCTGAGGATTACTTGCATTCTTAAACTTCCATAAAGATTATAATTTTCCAGGACGTTCAGAGAACTTCTTGAAAGTTCATTGACCCCCTCGGAAGTTTAGAAAACTTACAAAAAGTCCAAAAATCTTTAAACCTCTCTGGTATTACGTGAACTTTTTGGATTATCTCTGAGCTTCGTGAAAATTCTCGTTCTTTGATTTTTAAGATCAACATATTGTCCCTGTTCTCTGCCCCCTGTTTTGGGGTTCCCTTAGCTCAAAAGGCGCAGATATATTTAAGACGTGATTTGAATTGTTGGACAGTTCTTGTTCTTCCGAATAATGCCTGATGATCCTGACATCTTGACAAATATCCAGAGGCTCTCCTGAAAGTCTTTGGAATTATGTTTGAGCAACCTGGTACCATCAAAGAAAATCTAGGATACGTGATTGGAATTACTGGATTAATGCCAGATCATTCTTGGGAAACAATTCAGAGAATTGCTATCCTGAAGGTCCTTGATATAATTTCTGAGCAACCTGGTGGCAGGAAAGATATATATGAGAAACGTGACTTTAATTTTTGAACAGTTGTAGATTTTGGGAAAAATACCTGGTCATCTCGAGGACTTCCTTGAGATCTTTGATATCCTGAAGGTCTTTGGAATAATTTCTGCGCAACCTAACGGGTGTTCAATAAAAAAATGAGAATTTTGTCAGTGATATAGCCAGTAAAAACAATTTTTTTTTTCAACGAATTCAGTATTTTTTTTAATAAAAAAATAATGTTTATTCTTCAAAAACACGTCAATGAATATTGGAGAAGGGGCCCTGGTCAGCCGTACGACGCAACTTAGTAGCGATGCTCTCACTTTAATTACAGAAAGGTATTGAAATCATTCTCATTTTTTATTGAACACTCGTTAGTTCCGAGAAAAACAAATATTTGAAAAGCGTGACTTAACTTGTTGGTCACTTCTCAATCTTCAGAATAATACCTGTTCCTCCATGTTCATCCTGAACTCTTTAGAAAATATTCTGAGGACTTCCTTGAAATCATTGAAATCATGATGCACTTTGGAATAATGTCTATACAACCTGGTATCATGACAGAACATTTCAGAGACGTCATTTGAATGGTTGCACAGTTCAAGATCTTCAGAATAAAAATAAAAATATTGAGAGATCTTCCTTAAGATCGTTGATATCCTGAAATTTTTGAGCAACCCGATATATTGAAGAAGAAGAAATCTAAGAGATGCGATTTGAATTAATGAACAGCTGTTAATCTTCAAAATAATACCTGGTCATCATAAAGTCTTAAAAAAGTCCTGATAACTTTTTTAATACCTTTGATATCCTTAAGTACTTTGTATTAGTATATGATCAACCTGGTTATATGAAAGAATATCTGATAGATATTATTTGAATGGTTAGACAATTCAAAATCTTCAAAATAAAACCTGATCATCCTGAAGTCTTGGAAAAACATGCAGAAGGCTTCCTTAAGACCTTTGATCACGCACTAATCACTAATCAAAGCTGGAAGGACGATTGGATTCAGGAGCCCGGTACGCACATGTGCATAAATAATGTCACTCTAGTGCCGCCTGTTGAGTGAATTCTGAACTAAACTATTTTCCTTAAGATAGGTTTTGTCCATCTGAAAAACTTTCCATCCACATGAGCAGGAACTATTTGTAGCGTTATATAATGTGTATTAAGGTTGGCGCAACTTGATCATTTCCGTTTTAGCGCCATCTAGTTTTGAAGATCTTGTTTTTTTGAATATTTTTGAACAAGGAAGCAACATCATATATGGTTGGGTTCTAGTGATATAAACTTCTCTACCTTCAAAATATGCCTCTTCATGTGTATATTTTTACAACTACCCCTCCTTCGAGAGATCCGCCCCTTAAAAAAGTCTGACAATTTAAACAGAAAGTCCATTGAATTTATTTTGCAAATCATTTAAAATTTCCGAAGCCCATTGAAATTCCGTTAAGATATGGTAATTTGACTTTGGGGTCAAATTGACCCCAGGGTACAAACAACGTATGGATGTAACTAAAAAAAAGTCAAACAAAAATATTACAGAGCTCCGGCGGACTCACCTAGTCACGAAAGAATTAGTAAAATGCATCGACAAATGAAAAGGTTGCGTCCTTTCAAAGTAACCTGGGGTCACTTTCTCGCATCTCTGTAAGACCATCTTAAGGGGGGAGTACACTTTGATTTTTCAAAAAAATGCATTTTTTTGGCTTAAAATGTTCCTTGGGATGTATACTTTAATTGTGAAAAGACTCCAAGTCCGCCAGAATATTCCTTACCGCTTTACGAAGCGATTTCCTAAAACATGTACCGGCGCGCTGAGAGAGCAATTTTATCTCTAAACGCGTTTATCTCGAAACGGGGTTTTTCAAACTAGCGTGGGAAATAACTCTAACCAGTTATCATCAAATTTGGATATCGCCTAGGTTTTCTTGTTCAGAATTAAATTCTGCTTAGAAATACGTATCCACATTTTCGATTTTGTCAAAAATTGATTTTTAATCCACGATTTTGTAAGCATTTTTAGGGTGAAAATGAACTTTTTTTTCCTAAGGCCACAACTTTTGAAAAAATTAATTAAAAAAAAATCGGAATACGTATTTTTAACCCAAATTTCATTACCAATCAGGATTTTTGTTTGATTTATGTTCCAGAATCACATGGAAAGGAGTATTTTCCCACGCCGTTTTCCGACTTCCGCGCGAGGACGCCCGCGCGAACTGGTGCACCGGCCACGGGGAGACGCCCAATCGAGTTAAAAAAAAATACAAATTGCAGTTCGAAGGGTGACTAATAAATGGGTTGTAACATATTTGCCCTCCCTGAGTGTTTTATTGCTTAAAAAAATTAACGCAACTGCCTTACTTTTTGGACGTTCAATGTGTACTACCCCCTTATGTTCAAGATGCCAATTTTCCAATAACTTGCTCAATATATGTATGATGGTCATCCAACCATTTTGTGCTTTTCGATTTTAATCTTGCCATGCCTATCGCTAATACTTGTATCTTTTAATGGGCCATTTAGGGGAGGTTTGGGTAAGCGTTGTATTTTTTATCATCAATCATTTTGGAAGTGGTTTTAACTTCCCCAGCTGCTCTTACTGTATGTTTCTTACCTGCGGCCATGATGTTTTCTTTCACAAATCGAACTCAATTTGTGCATCGGCTCTAGAACCAGGTTATTGCTGTATAAATTTACTTCATAATTATTCCTATCCCATGCATGAAAAAGAATTTATCTTTTATATGGAAGAGGGATGTAATTATTCTCCTCAAAGACACCTATTCGAACTATAGAAGACTTGTATCAAAGAACTCTAATATTAATTCTGCTTAGAACAAATTACCTCACACCACACAAGTAACCACCAAGCTATTTCAACTATCATTCAAATACTTACCAATTATTACAATGTGACCAAACATGTCCTTCTTCCAAACTTGCGTGCAATTCCAGCGATGACCTAATTTAACGAAGTGATTGATAGAACCGTTTCACTGTATTTCAGGCAGTAAGTTTACCTCTGAATTGGTGTTGGCACTCTTGAGCACCGAGTTTTTGTCCAGTACTTAGCGATACTACAGCGTCTGGGGCTTCAATACACAGTTGTCTTTGATAAGGTGACAGCCCTGGAATTCTTGAACATAGAACTGAGGATGCGAAGCTTTCGGCGAGTCTGAAATAAACAAATAAAGAATACAATGAAACCAAAGGGTAAATATATTTAAGCGGATAGTAGTCGAATAGATAATGATCAATGGAAATGTTGGATATGCCTTTATACAAAGAGAATAAGCAAGAAAAGCGAATTGTGTCTTTAAAAATTTAAAAAAAGATTGGCCTGGAAAGTATTCAAACATTTCAAGTGAAAACAAAAAAAATAATGTTATGGTGTGTTTAAGTGGAGGAGCGTACCCAAGTAGCAAACCTAGAGCTTTTTTATTTTCCTTGATTTGTTTTCCGTCGATCTTGTTTTCCGTCGATCTTGTTTTCCGTGCTGAGCAAAAATGCTACCGACGCCAGGGAGGCAGCTCCCACACCTGGACCCTACCTATCGACCCATCAAACTCATGCACCGGGGACCAACGATTTTACTTCTCTTCCGAAGGAAGGCGTGATTAGAGATGTTATGCCTCAGAAAATCCCGGCGGCACCTACTGGGATTGAACCCAGCCTGCGGGGGTGAGAGGTAATCACACTCATCACTACACCACCGGCGCCGGTAAAATTCAAACTTGTCATCTTAGAACACAACATTCATTTTCCTAGAGAAATAAACATTAAATTTTGACTCTCAAAGAAATCGGAAAAAAAAATCAGGGAAAGGTAAAAGAAGCTCTTCTTGATGAATATTGAAGATTGTTTTATTCCCGGTTAACATTAGAGCCTATAGTACGTAATATAGACTGTTTTACGAAATATAGAGTGCGAGAGGAAACCATAAATTTATGGAGTAGTTATTTCCAAGGAAACCAGAAGCAACTAGGAAAATCTTCCAATAGAAGTCGAAAAAATACCTTCAGAAGAAGCTGATTTGAAAAACTACCGAAAGAAGTAAATTGATACTTCTAGGAGACTTCGATACTTACGTCGATTACGCTCTACTATACAGTCAAATGAAACCTCGGAACCCCTTGAAAGCTCTTACCACTTTTCGGAATTATTGGGGATACACAGCAAAAAAATAATTTTGATATCACGTCAAAGTGGATGCACTACAATCATGTCGAAAATATGGTGTAATATTACTTGCTAAAAAGGAAAAAATTATCATTAATACAATGCATGAACTGACATTACGCTGCTTTTACTGCATTTGTTTATTTATGTGGTCATAAAAATTACATGAAATTTTCGACATGATTGTAGTGCATCCACTTTCATGTGATATCAAAATTATTTTTTTGCTGTGTATTCTCATGCTCACTCGGATTACTTTCTAAAAGATATTGGAACACAAAATTATCTTGAAATTAATAAAATATCAGCATTGAAACCCTCTTATATCCCTTATTTGAACCTTGATGTTCTAAGATGCCATTTAAAAGCATGCAATTTATCTGAAAATTTTATTACATATTCCTGACGTCGCTAAAACTTCCTTAACGATACCAAAATATTGATGGATCCTTACTGCAGGTATCAGAAATTTTCTTTAATTTTCTAATCTCCATTAAAATTCCAACATTTTTTTTAAATTGATTGATCTGTCCTAATGTTTTCAGAGCATCATCAACCTTCTCTTGATCCTCTTAATCCTCTTTAAATGAATGAAGCTTCTGAACAACTTCGGATTATCCCTTACTTCACTGGTGTTCTGTAATTTTAACAGATGTTAAAATTAAATTTAGAGATCTTAAAACTTACCCAAAAGCCTAAATATTTCAGAGCATTTTAGAAGCTCCTATAGGATTTCTGGAATCAAAATAACTTTATGAGGGGGAAATTCTGAATCACGTCTAAAAAAAAACTGGATCCCTCCAGATTTTTTTTTTTTCTTTTGATTTGTTTTCCGTCGATCTTGTTTTCCGTGCTGAGCACCAATGCTACCGACGCCAGGGAGGCAGCTCCCACACCTGGACCCTACCTATCGACCCATCAACTCATGAACCGAGGACTAACGGCTTTACTTCAGTAAATTTCTAAATCACTTCGGAAGTACTGATATACTTTAGAAAAATTTGAATCTGTTCGGAAAATACTGAATCACTTCAGAAAAGATAGGAATCACTTCGGTGAGTACTAAATTACTTGAGAAATGGTTGTAAACACTCCGGAAAGAACTTAATCGCTGCAAAGAAAATTCAAACTCACTTCTAAAAGAACTAAATCACTTGAGAAATGTTCAGAATCACTTCGGAAAATAGTCAATAACTTAAGAAGAGTTCTAACTTACTTCCGAAAGAGCTGAATTACTTTTGAAAAATTTGGAATCCCTTCGGAAAGTACTGAATTAATTCAGAAATTCACTTCGAAAAGAACTAATTCACTGATTCACAAGTTAGGAATCATTTCGGAATGAACTGAATCAATGCAGAAAGCTTCATAATCACATTGGATAGAACTGCATCCCTTCTGAAATGATTGGAATCACTTTGGGAAGTACTGAATTCTTTGGAATTCCTTCTCAAAGAACAAAAACTTTTCAGAAGCGTTTGGAATCTCTTAAAAAAATATTGAATCACTTCAGAAATGTTCTACATCACTTCGCAAAATACTGAATCGCTTTTGAAAAAATCGGAAACATTTTGAAAAGTACTGAATCTTTTCATACATGTTCAGATTCATTTCGAAAAGAACTTCGGAAAATATTCGGAATCTCTTAGAAAGAACCAGGACTGTAATCTGATATTTCAATGTGCGCAGTGCGCTGATTTTCTGCATTCCACTATGTTAGAATCAAGCAAACACAAATTTTGTTAGCCTTTCTCCCTGCGTAAATGTAAAACAGCTGAGAATAGAAGAAGAGACACGCCCAGAAATAATATTTTTTTAAAGATTGTTAAAATATTTCAAACAGCAGCGCCGGGTGTGTAATGATAAACGTGATTACCTCTCACCCAAAAGGTCCTGACTTAAATCCCAGTCAGTGTTCACTCGGCTGTCGACAAAAGCAGGCCACTCTCGATGTGTGCTGCGCGATCGTCTGTTTTCTCGGCAGCAACCATTGTGTGGTCCTCCTCATTGTTCTTCATCAGCAGTTCTTTCGGTCGATGCGTCGTCGACTTTGGAAAGCAACCGTTTCGTGATGAGTGTGTGAGTGCTGACCACGTTTTGCGTCCATTGCTGCAATGGACGCGCTCTGACCCTCGTTGGCGTACAACAATTTGCCATACAATGAAACCACTGGAAGCGGCTCCAGTTCTGATGGAGAAGGCTTTTTGGATAGCGGAAGATAAAGTGTTTATTGTGTTGTACCTTTTGACTATAGTTTTAAGATGTATTGTATAGTGACCAAGAATCCTCGGCTCTGTAAAGTTAATTCGGTTGAGCCTTATCAAATAAATTAATAAACACAAAAAAAAAAAAATCCCTGTCGGCACCGCTGGAATTTTCTGAGGCTCTGATCTCTGATCTCTGATCACGCTTTCCTTCTGAAGGGAAATAAACCGTTGGTCCTCGGTCCATAGTTGATGGGTCGATAGGAAGGGTCCAGGTGTGGGAACTACCTCCCTGGCGTCGGTAGCATTGGTACTCAGACTCAGTACGGAAAGCAAGATCGACGGAAAACAAATAAAGAAAAACAAATATTTAAAAAATAAGTAGGTTTTAGAAAGCTATAATGTTCTAAAAATATTTGTATATTATTCAAATACATGACCCTGTTTATAGACGACCAAATTATATTTATAACACAGTCCAAGTAATTGACAGATTCAGTTTAAAAAGCCATGTTGTGTGCTCTCAAAAAAAAAAATCGTTAAATTCCGGCAGATAAAATCTAGATAAGAAAAAAGTTCAATCAAAATTGCCCCCACAATCCATTGAAACTAGTGGCGCTGGTGGTGTAGTGGTAAGCGTGGTTGCCTCTCACCCAGCAAGCCTGGGTTCAATCCCAGTCGGCGCCGCCGGGATGTTCTGAGGCAAACATCTCTGATCACGCCTTCCTTCGGAAGCGAAGTAAAGCCGTTGGTCCCAGGTTCATGAGTTGAAACATTTTTCCCTTTTAGCATCTTCCTTGATTATATTGCATTTAAAAAAGGACGTTCTGCAGCTCAGTGACAGTGACATATCAGTGCCAACATTTCAAAGTGGCGTATTTGTAATGGCTTTAGCCGTAGATTTCTCGAGAATTGGCGATGGGCTTTTATTTGCGAGAAATCGACGTCTATAGCAAGCCCCTTTGAAATGTTGGCACTGATATGTCAAAGACTATCATAGTCGGTTTCGTGATAATAAAACAAAATTTGGTTGTACATCGATAGGTTTATCTGCATTATAATGCTTGTTATATCGAAAACAGTGGATTATTTTTGTAGTAAAAGTCATCTTTACAACTTCACAGCAGATCCGAAAAGATGGAGAAGCATGTGTTTCAACATTGCAGGTAAGTACAATCATGCAGCGAATAAAGTGTTTATGAAAATATCATAAATAGTAGGGGTATTTGCGCAGCACATCGTAAACTTACATTATCGTAAAAAATACCATGTTCCATTGAAGTGTAAAATAGCTTACGCATTTCCGAAGGTTTACACACTTACGGTGCACTACGTGAATTCCCCTAGCATAACATCTAAGTTATCAAAACAAATTTCAGTTGACATCGACAAACGAATGCTTTTTTAGTTATGGAAGGATTTTAAGGAAAATGGCAGTGAAAAAACAAACATTGTGTCCAGAGATGTTATTGAATATTACGGCATTGATGATATATCAATGTCAGATGAGGCAGCTGATGCCAATAATGTTGTTAAGATAATATGCAAATATTTAGAAAATGGGATCATTAGGTTTGAAAGCAGTCGCGTTTATTAGCAAAACGCGTTCAAACTATCACAAAGTGTTGTTGATCGTATCCCTTGTACTTGTGGATCTTCCCGTCGTGGAAGAAACATTTTGACATTCAAAGAAAGCAGTGAAGCAGTAAAGTGACGCAAGGCAAATGCAATGCGGTCAAATTACCAGACAGATGAACTAAACTAAAAATTACTTTGTTCCGTACTCGGAGACGGA